ATTTTTCTATACAGTTTTTAATGTTGCCAATTTCAGAAGCATGTGCCAAGTATGTTGTACCACTACCTTAATCCATAAATGTATCATAATGTAGATATACATCACCATACAATTCCACTAAACATTTCCGTAATCTTTATTCATTTAAAAAAATAATGCATTTATATACTTATGTGAAATTATATGAACAAAAAAAAACTAATGAGGGTAATATTCCTGTAAACTATAGTATCAAGTTAACTTATGTTATTTTGACGACCTCCGTAGCCGAGTGGTTCGCACGCCGGTTTCAAGGTGTCGCCATCTCTGAGGTCCCGGGTTTGATTCCCGGTCGGGTCAATGTAGAAAATGCACCTTTCTATATTGTCTCGGGTCTGGGTGTTGTGTGATCTTCGTTGTCTCAGATACTCCATAATACGGGGGCTTTAGCTACTCATCTTGGAATCGGAGCAATGTATGTGATGTTGTTAAATATTCATATTTATTTATTTAAGTCGTTTATAGTGTTGAAAATGGGAGTTTCACAGTATTTAAACTGAATTCAGTTCGTGTAACAGAATTCCTACCACTGACTTTTAACGTCTAGCCAAAACAAAATATTTTATAACCCTAGGATAAGTCCCTTCATTTGTTGTCTCACGATATTGTTTTCGGAACTATTTATTTATGTGTATACATATTTTAATTAGATAAATTTGATCTCCAAAGTTGATATAATATTTAAATACATTTATTTACGTTAAACTACCGTTTTTGGAAATGGTTAACATATATTAATTTTTAACTCAATCTGTCCATTAAAGTTCAGTTATGATACTCTGTAATAAAATCAGCCTCGCACTTCAACCAAATAATAATAATTTTCAACAATAAACAACATTTTTGGTATCAAATTTTCTTACAAAAGCAAAGTACAAAAGCAATATAAATATCCCTTACACTTGACATCGGTTTATTGACTAAATATACTTGCTCAATATACACTCCGCTTCCATCGAACTCACGTCGAATTGGTTACCAAAAACACTTTGCATATGTCCGCCGACAAAAGTGGGTATAATGAGTCCATTAGCATATTTGTTGCATTACAAGCGAGAACAATTGTGGACTGAATGGCCCTACACGCCGATCCTGTGACGATGTAGAGTTGCGCGTAATGTTGTGTCGATAATTTCTTAACGTCGATAAATTTGAGTTAGGTTACGAAAAGGAGTTAGGAAAAGGAAATACTTGTTTGTAAACTACTTGAAAGGATTTAAAAAAATCTAAACATTAAAACGATACATTGGTGAATCACAGAGGGCTATTTTGTATTATTTATTTATTAAATATAAAGCGGCAAGTTCGTGGGATTGGTACACTTATAATTGGCAAACATGGCAATACAATAAACACAAAAAATACTAGTAAATATAATATCAAAATTCATTAGTATAATAATAATACAATTTATTGCACTCAATATAACACTGGTTACAGGAAAATAACAGTAAGAAGAAACAGAACACAAATGGCGGCCTTATTGCTATGCAGCAATTTCTTCCAGGCATCCAATGGAGAGAGAAGAATAAGTTAAATGGATAGTGTGGGGGGGTGGTAGGTGCAATATAAGGAAGGATAAATAAATAAATAACGGATATAACTCTAGACAAACATATACTAAGATGATTATATCAATATTCAAATTATCCATACAAATTCTTCCGTTGTTACAATATGAGTTACTTTTTAGTAGTTTTTGTCTTTTAGTATCAATTTATAACTTCATCTTTATCATGTTTGTGGGGTCATATTAACGTATTTGCTACGTCATTTATGGCAATGAAAAGTTAGTTTTGTGATGTAGTTTTCGAAATCACTGTCTGTATTAACGGATCTGGCGAATGTGAAAATGTAAATATGAGAAACGCAATTGAATTTTCGTTTTCTCCCGTGTTGTAGGTTTTGCGAATTAGAGTAAGGTGTATTAATCTTGCGATAGTAATTATTATCGCGTCGCGAAAGCAATTTCCCAAAGACATTGATTATTTCATAACATTGGTGTAAATTCACTTGTAGATTTTAATGTGATTGTTTTGATGGAATTTGTGTTTATGAGCAGTTAATAACCAATATTATCTACACTTGTTGTAAAACTAGAATGATGAGTAATAAAGATTGTAACATGTAACTCGAAATATCTTAAAAACAAATGACTTATCACATATAATTCATACAAACAACAGGTTAATGATCTCTTTTTATCGTTCAATGCATACTTCAAATTTAAATTAGGTTAAATACTTAAGAATAAGGATTTTCTTATAATTTAGTAATCATCTATCTGTATCTTTACGCAGGGTATATAGAGAGGACCGAACGCCACAAAGCACGGTACATACACCTTTTGCCTCCTCTATTTTCATTACTCTTTTCATTCATCTTCGCCGGTTTTTAAGGCTTCTGATATCACGGTAATCATGATTCTCTATAAAATATTTAAACAATGAGAAATGAATTGAGAGCTTGCCCAGTACAATATATCTTATAGTCTGTAATACATTGTGTGTAAAGTCTTCGACCATTGTTTTAATGTACTTAATGATATAGCCAAAGATGAATTTTAATAATTGTTTAGCAGTTCATGATAGGGAAATTATTTTACTTTAGTTATTATATCACACACAGTAGTACTCACAATATCACAGTTGCTGCATGACCAAATTTTTGCTTTTAATTACATTAGATACGTATTTACGTATGTTTCATTGGATCAAATTTCAATTTGTTTTGATTTGATTTATATCCTAACATTCCTGCTAGAAGAAGCGTACTAGTAACTACTATTTTTATGACCTCTGTCACTGATTCACACGATAGTTAAAAATTATCGCCTTCAGTGATGTCGGGCGTGTCAATGTAAAAATAAAGCTTCTCTAATATGGTCTCGGGTTCTGGGTGTTGTGGCACCTTCATTATTTCATATCTTCGAAGGCTTTAACTCCTAAGTTTGGGATCTAAACAATATAGTTATACCTAACTTGTTAGATGACAAACGTAATAGCTGATTTTGTCGATGTTACCTACCTAATTTCATCGAGCACTGGCGAAACACTAGCGTTGGTCTAAGACTTCGGACAGTGAGGTCGTGAGATGTTCGGTATTCGGTATTGTGCGCGCCGGTCTATGCCCGTCTATGAATGGACGTTATGTATATATTAGCAAGTGAGTTGGGATCACTATTTCAAATTATTTATTTTTCCTTTCCATCTTTTTATAATCAGCTGTTCTTTTCATCTTTTTTGCATCTTTTATTTAGCTTTTTAGGGTTCCGTATTCAAAGGATAAAGATTCACTGACCGTCTGTGTGTCACCAGACTTACTCATGAACCGTCAACTTTTTCACAGATTATATTTTTATATTTTTTTTATTTATATTTTTTTTCACAGATTATATATTTTTGTTGCCATTATAAAACATTGCCATGAAAGACAGCGTCGGGATGTCTAAGACATCCGACAATGGCTGCCTTTTCCTATAACTTAATTCGTGCGATTTGATAAGAGATTTCGTAATTTGTATAATATTATATAATATTGGAACGAGGTTCCAATATTCCGAACCTGCGTTGGAAAGCTACTGTCATTGTACGTCTTTTCAGTAAATGTCATTCATTTGATGCGTTAACAACAATATTTTTTTTTTCACTCAAATATCTTGAACTTTGTTCCTGCCGAAAGTCATCGTATTTTGGTGGAGGTTTTTGTTATTGTTTTATTTTTGGTAACTAAATAAATAATTTTCTTTTCTTTTCCAAAATACTATAAAACCAGACTAAAATAAATCTTTATATGGGGTTCTCACATAACTTACTCCGATTCCGAATCGCACTTGATCGGTTTTTTTTTATCAGCTATTATAATGATATCTACTAGTGCACCTAATCACGCTGTTTTGACTGCATTTAAAAAATGATAATTTGCATTAAAAAAGTTATATTTGATATTTATTATATTAATATGCTGTAGTGTGTTTCGAATACTTTGAGACTGCCCTACTGATTGGGTGATCGATTTTCCAAAGTACTTGTTTTACTTTCGTTGCTACAGTGCGTATTTCTATCAATGATTGACTTCGAAAGCAAAAAAATATATATAAAAATAATATTTAAATTTCCATAAAATGAAAATTTACCTATTATTTATTATTACATTCACTTTAACTTAACAATTTTATGATTTTATATTATAAAAAAAAATGGAAGGTTAACTAGAGGCTTAAATGTAACGACCAGAAGTTTTTGTATAATATTAAAAGTGCAGTCAAAGAAAGTAAAGTATTTCTTTCGATAGATCATAGATATTGGTAAATATTAAGAATAATTCTAACATTTGTTATTATGACTGCCAACAGACAATTTTTCTTCCGATGTGTTATTTATTTTATTTTAAAATCCTTCGAAAATATAGGTTTCTCAAACTTCGAAAGCACTCGAATAGGTATATTTGTCTATTCGAGTGCTTTCAAAGTTTGAGAAACGTATGATTCTCGAATGATTTCGAATGACTCGAATGATTTTTAAACGATATCACAATAAAATATTATGCCTAAAGAATTATTTTAATGTCTGCCCTGCAATTCTGAATTCTGTAAATATCCAGACCCGAATTCGAATTCACTCATGTGTCAGAATTCACGTTATTTAGTGAAGAAATTCTATCGATTCCTTATTTTGTATAAAAATACAAAAAAATAAAAATAAAATACGTGTCTCATAAATTCTATTCCTATGTCATTTCGAAACTCACTTCACTTATGCCACGAAACGTTATTACCAATTCAAGGTGGTTGACCGGATGCTGTTTTTCGACACTGTAATGATGTTCTTATTATATTAAAGTTATTTTACAATTTTATTATATATGTTTTCAAATTGCGTGTATGATTGGAAATTCATACGGAGATTTTATTCGCTTAATTGTTGTTATGTTTTTTTGTCAGGTGGGCGGCGTGGTCCGCTATGGGGTGCTTTGGCTCACCGGGTGGCAAGAGCGACAATGACGACAAAAAGAAACAGAAGCAAATCAGCGACGCGATCACGCGGCAACTGCAGAAAGACAAGCAGGTACAGTGCGATACAACTAATGTGGCTCAATGATGTACCATATACGTTTCTAACCGCGGCAAAAGTCGACCAATCAGAATGGTTCAATTACCACGCCATCGAGCGATCCACCAATATTCACGCGCCTGACCAATATACACTTTCTGCTTATAAAAACAAGACTCACTATACATTTTTCGTACGTTCCGTTATTGTTGGCATTGCTCTGCGTAAACGAAGCATCGCCATGTGTCATGTTGTTGTCTCTTTATCTACTTGCTGGCGACGACACCTTGTTGTTCGGGTCGATGAATGGAAGATGATTTTGCAGTATGTAAAAAATTTATATGATGTCTACTTGATACAATATTGTCATTTCTGAAGTTGCTTAACAGTTGACGAAAGTTTTTTTTGACTGACATGACACTGAATTATCAAAAGAGGCCCTTATTTTATACGAACGCTACGAACTATATCCTAATGAAGCGCGCTGTCTGCCCAATCACAGCGCGTACTGTGCCCGCGCACCGGATGAGGGTATTACTCCGGGTGGGTGTGGCTTAGCGGCTAATACGCTCGTCGATAAATAACTAAATGTAAGCGCTCTGATTTGACGTCTGATCTATAGAATACATACTAAAATATTGTTAATTAACTCAATTGTTTAGGTGTATCGCGCGACGCATCGTCTACTCTTGCTTGGAGCTGGTGAATCCGGCAAGTCCACTATCGTGAAGCAGATGCGCATACTACACGTGAACGGGTTCTCAGACAAAGAGCGCCGGGAAAAAATCGAAGATATAAAAAAGAACATAAGAGATGCCATACTTGTGAGTTAAACACTAACTCTTTTTCCACGAATTTGTCCGCGTAAATTATAGTTTCTAAAAGATGGCTCTGAATTACAATAGAAAATATTGTAGTATTTATAGATGTCTTAATAAATATTACAATATTTTCTATATATTTGCTACACGACTAAAGGTCTTTTTTCTGGCTATTGTTTAAAGCTATTGTAAAAATATTCAGTTGTCAAATTTAAAGAGTTAAATTTTGAGTGTAAATTATTTTATTATTTGCTTTGCAGCGCGTTTTTTCTTAGTGCCAAATTATGATGAAGCAGCTTGCATAGCAATAGGAATATGTCTCAAGTCGGCGCACACTTGCCACTTCTGCGTACAAAACGTGTTGTTTTAGTGATAGTTGGGATTCACAAGATGTTGCATAGTAGTTACTGCACCTTTTCTTTCGTTAAAATTGGCAAATGTATGTGATTCGGTTTAATATAATTTTTTTTGCATGTAGTGTCAATTTATATATTTGTAAACCAAAAAAGCTTTAAACATATTATTACAATTTTCCACATCTTATTTGCTATTGTAGAAATAGTAGACTGTATAAAAAATACAATTTATAATTATTTTATTTTATTTGAATAATCTCTTTCGACCGTAATTTTTCAAAACGCTGAACAGATCACCCCAAGAAATAATAAATACAACGGTATTACAGATACCGGCTGTTTTCTTGGTACTACGGTTTTTGCATTTCTGACGATTGAAGTACCTATAAGCAACAGCCTTACGTATTTAGGCTATTATCGCCCACTCGGGGCTCGATTCGGCGTACTATTCTTCTTTTACTATGGTTTAAGGTACCCGCGTATAATGTAGGTGACAGAATTTTAAAAATCAGTCAATCAGCAAATAATATCGTTTTTGCATGTGGAAATTGTTTGGCCAGAATTAATGCAGTCAACCAAGCTCAGTCAAAAATGTTGCTAAACGTCGTCACGTCACAGGAATTGTCTCAGGTACTGAAATGGGCACCCTGAAAGGCGTCCTGCAATGTCTCTGGCGACTGCTTTAACCAATAGGAAATTTGAGTCTGATTAAAATAAGGGTTAAATATATATTATGAATTCTATTCCTTTCCAATAATGTCTATCTAAATATTTTTTAATTTACGTCATGAAAATAATAATTAAAAAATTAAGGTTAATTCAAAATATTCAAACGGATGTAACGAATTAATCTAGGTTTAGGATGTTACCAAAACTTAATATCGATGGAAGATCAATGTTTTATGTAGCAAAATAAAAACAAAAACATATCATATTTTTTTAATAGTATTTTAGGTTATTTGGCGAAGTTGATAAAAAAAATTTTAGTTGTTAATCACACGACTCGAAATGTGCGTCAAAAATTCCCAGCGTTTTATGTACGTGAGTGGTCATAGTCGTTACTCAATTTCATAATTTATTGAGCTAGCCGGGACCTTAATGAGACTTTTCAAGTACCTAATTGTTGAATTTGCTGCTAGAAAAATCAATATAGCATTTTGAATACAAAATACTGTTAAATATAATAATTGAAAGTTTTGTGGTTGATTGGTTTTTTTTTCATTTCAGACAATAACTGGTGCGATGAGCACCCTAACACCGCCCATACCACTTGAGAAACCTGAAAACAAGGCGCGCGTTGATTATATACAGGTACAGAACTTAATATAAATGATACACAAATACAATAGTATATTAAAATCCAGTAAGTACTTTTTCAATTTCCTTATAGGGTGGGTGCACCAGTTGCAACCAACAATTAAGCAACATTTTAAAAGAAATTTTGATGATGTGACTTAATTATTGCAACAATCATTGCTAGAATATATTTGTACTCAATAATGATTATTGTAAAATCCAAAAACCGAAAATGAATTTCGGCACCAGTCCCAGTTTCTTAGGCCGAAACCGAAACTTCCTTACACCATATTTTGAGGGAAAATAAAGAAATGCTGTTATAATCAGCCAGTCTTTATTTTTTAACCGACTGCAAAAGAAGGGTTACGTTTATCGCGTGTATGTATATAATATTTTTTATTACCTTATATCTCCAGAACTGCTAAACGTATTTACATAATTGAAGTATCGTTAGTTTTTTTAGCATTCCAAGTGTCCTTAAATTGATGACGTTAAGGAAAATCAAATATGGCGGCCGAGCGAAGCCATATTCATATAGCATAAACTTGATTGTACTATAAATATATTAGTTTCTTATATCGAATTATATTTTATAATTACTACTTACTATCTGCTATGTTATGTGTCAAAACTTACCGCATTCAAAAAAGAGCTCACAACAAACAAAACGAGCGCCGAACAATAACAACCGATCAGAGCCCGAGAACTCCTGAATGTAGTTACCCGAAACCAAAATTAAACCGAAATCCGTTTTTGTTTCGCCGAAACTCGACCGAAACCGTTACCGTACCGTACCGTGTCGCGAGAACCACCTTCCATTCTAACTAATGCAAAACAAAATAATATTACTTCGTCGTGAACGGTTTTTAAAATGTTGCATTATGGCAAAAATGTAACAACTTACATTATGTACTTGTTGGTTACAGGACGTGGCGTCGCAGCCCGACTTTGATTACCCGGCGGAGTTTTACGAGCACACGGAGGCGTTGTGGAAGGACGGCGGCGTTCAACGCACGTACGAGCGCAGCAACGAATACCAACTGATCGACTGCGCCAAATAGTCAGTATTCATTTCCCAATATCCACATACTTAGCCGTGGCTAAACATTGACCTTAGTTGTACCACCTAAACTGTACAGATACCTCATCCCATAGAACAAAATGTGACCGTTCTAACTAGGGTTGCCAGATGGTCGGAATTGGTCTGGATTGTCCCGACCTTTTGAAGGATGTCCAGAGTCCCGGAAAAGAAGGAAATGTCCCGTCAAACGTTAAATAATTTATAAAATCTTTAAATCAATCGCTCGTAATGACTGTAACATCCTAAAAATAATTTAATTATCTTTGGTTGTCAGTTTTTTCGAGGCAAAGATTGAATGTATAAATGTTTTGTCCCAAGTAATTGCGATTTTATTAAATTTTGCCCAGATATTTTACTCTTCCTATCTGGCATCCTTAGTCCTAAAGGGTTATTCTTCAGGCTATTTTGTCTTACTTGAGTCGACGCTAGATGCCGCAAGTGAGCAAGCAACACTTAGAATGAGGGCTACGGTTTTTTCGCTCACCAGATGGCGCGGCAGTCGCGAGAGGTCCTGTCAAAGTATGTTCACTACGAGATTGAACTTAAATCATACATCATAATACATAAATAAAACATTTCATTAAAAATATCGAATATGCCGAATAAACACTGACTAACCTCTGATTTCGCTCTTCTTTCCTTGCGCTTAATTTTGCATTACTTTCTTAGTTCCGGCTTTAAATCACTGCCATTCATTGACCGGTAATTCATAATTGGTTTTATGAATCTCAGGTAAACCAAAATAAGCGTCAAAATTCGTTTATTTGAAAATAAACGTGCGTAGTTTACCGACAATATATGATATTTGACATTTTGAAGACCTCACGCTACACTAGCGCCTCTAGTGGCAAATTCAAACGCGTTAGCCCTCATTAGACTTGACTATTCTATGAATTTTCGCATTGACGTTAATATGTGACGTTAAAATGAACGTTAATATGTTTCTTGTGCCTACTATTAAATGTAAGTTTATTGCATTTTTTTGTTGTAAATTGTCAATCAACAAAAAAATAAACACCAAGAAAAGATGTTTTAAATAAAATAATAATAAAAACGTAGCTATTTACAACGCCATTTCTGCATAGACATTTAATTATTTAACGCATACTTTTGCTCGACAACTGTGACGACTTGTAATTTTACGAAAACTAGATGAAATAACGCTTTATTTCAATTCTCCGAATTTAGGAACTTTTTCCCTTTAAGAAATTATACTGGTTATTTTATATTCTGGATTTTTTACAAACATAAAATATTGAATAATACATGTAACGCCTTCTATTGTGGTTTTTAAGAACAAATATTTTGTACTTAGCGATGATACCCGTGATTGTACCAATGTAATGTATTGGATCGGTGGCGTAGTGGATAAGAGCCGCGACCCGCGACTTTTGTTGTTATGCAATAGGGATTACGACTGGTTAAAAAATAAATATCTATTTAGTTCGTCAGTCCAATAGAAACAATATTAGATATGTATTTTTTTTTTGTTGTAGAAAATGAACAAAAGCGTGATGTCATGCGACATTTCAAATCAATGTATCGACGTTATTTATTTACGCAAAAAATAAAAAAAATATATGTTTTTAATATTCTTCATTAATCTACCTGACGGACAAACAAACAAAAATAAGTTGTCAACCTTATTATCGCAAAGGTCGGTCACGTAATGGGTGACTGAAAAATTGTGATTCTCGAGCTACTCTGGGCTTCGGAAGGCACGTTGAACCTTTGGTCCCGGCTGCATTTGCCGTCTTTAGTAACCTACAATCTGTCCAAATCGCATTTGGCCAGCGTGGAGGGTCATGCATGGCTCCTCTCCCTGAACCATCCATAAGGAAGGCGTAAGCCCCTTCAGTGCAAAAGGACTGATGATGATGCTTTACGTATGACGTAGTTAATTAGGTTTACAATATACAAGAAAAGTAATGGTTAAAAAATTGTATGTGTAACTACAGTAGAATCCGTTTATTATAATGACCAACCACTTCATATAAATTCAAATCGCAATTACAGAGATGAATTTGATTTTCATATAAACTCTTTGGTCTAAATTAGAGACTAAATTTTTCTGGCAGTGAGATTGTGTAGTAAGGAGTAACTTAGGCTACTTTCCAAGCGCACGAAGTCGCGGGCACATACAGTAATAAATAAAAGATATTAGACAACATCACATACATTGATCAGATTCTAAGATGACAAGCTAAAGATGACTAGGCCCTTACTATGGAGTATGTGAGACAACGAAGGTTTCACAACACTCAGACTCGAGAGAATATAGAAAAGTCCATTTTCTACATTGACCCGACCGGGAGCATTGAGAGCTACGGAGGTCGTTTATTGTCATGTACGTGTTTTGTTTACAGTTTCCTGGACCAGGTTCACATAATAAAGCAGTCCGACTACACGCCAACGGAACAGGATATATTGCGTTGCCGAGTCCTCACTTCGGGTATATTCGAGACGCAATTCGTCGTAGACAAAGTCAACTTCCAGTGAGTGTACCTACCTAACGTTATAAAAATGCACAATAATGAAAAAAATATATATATACTTAATTTTCAAAATTTATAAATTTTAATCGAATTGTATATTGTGCGTTCCGATTTTCAAATATTGGAAAGGTAAATTGAAATTCGAAAATTAATAATACAATCATCATATATTTTTTAGATCTACTTTTTTGTAAGTTTATTTTAATCTCAGTTTATTACTATGTTACGTGTAAAGAAACGTAAATTACTGATATTTTCATATCAAGAATAGAGTATTCTACTCTGTTTGATATAATCCTTGTAACTGTTTATTTTAATTTAAAAAGCCTTTATGGATTTTTAATTAATAACTATTATTATTAATTAAACTATTATTAATTAATATTATTATTATTAATAACAAAATATCTGTGATATAAGACTAAAATTACTTCGATGTTCAACTTTGAAGACATTATAAGAAGCTACATTTATTTAATTAAATACCTTATTATTATATAGCTAGCTTTCCGTCAGCGGCTTCGCCCGCGTCGTCCCCAGGGGAACTGTGTAGTAAGATGAAAAGAAGCCTATTTAATCCAGAATTTTTAATTTATTTGGACAAGGTTTTATATCATGGCGTGGATATAATTACGATGACAAATTTAATAGTAAACAATGGTTACTATGCTGAAGTTTTAATCCCCTATACAAAATTCCACTACTATTCTCATCCCTTTATTTGCTATTTTTCGGGATAAAATATAGCCTATGTTCACCGCATATGATGTAGCTTCCCGATCCAGTAGTTTAGGAGTCTATTGGTTGCAAACATACAAACAATCAGTTCCCTCTTTATAACGTTAGTATAGATGTATACTCACTGTCCCAAATTATTATTATTACAGTATGTTCGACGTGGGCGGTCAGAGGGACGAGAGACGCAAGTGGATCCAGTGTTTCAACGACGTGACCGCGATAATATTCGTGACTGCGTGTTCCTCCTACAACATGGTCCTCAGGGAGGATCCTACGCAGAACCGGCTCAGGGAATCGCTAGATTTGTTCAAGAGCATATGGAATAACAGGTCAGGTGGAATCTTTAATATTAACTTTGACATTATCTTAATATTTTATAAAATACTAGCTGACTCGGCGAACTTCGTACCGCCATATTTATTTCTTTAATCGCAATTGAAGAAATAAAACTCTTCCGGTAAAATAAACGCTTAAGAAACAATTAATTAGAACATTCTATTCGTCTACATTCACGACATAAGTGAATAATTGATATGATAACTATCCTATCCAGTAAGTTAGACCAAAATACGGGTACATGTGAAATTTGATTGAAATCGGTTCAGTAGTTTTGGAGTTTATTGGCAACATACATCGTGACACAAAATTTATATATACAACGTGTCCCAAAATTCAACGATAAGCGGGCGCCATGAGGTACCCTTGCTCATGTGTACTTATGGAAAAATAAGAAAAAAATTATATCTTATCTTTTTTATTATAAAATTTAATTCGAAAATCTTCGAAAATTTACACCTTTTATGATATTTTCAACTACCACGCCCACAACTTCTCAATTTTGTTCAATCTTTTTTTGGTATCGGATACCTAAGTAGCACTACTATTCGCTACAACTCTCGAAAAATTTCGAATTTTATTTTATAATAAAAAAGATTAATAAGATATAATTTTTTTCTTATTTTTCCATAAGTACACATGAGCAGGTCTACCTCTTGGCGCCCGCTTATCGTTGAATTTTGGGACACGTTGTATATAAGATATATAAATGAAAAAAGCGTTAGTGTTTACACACATACCTGCAATATTCTTTTGGAATAGGATTGTTGCATTTAATTTACAATTAAATATACGTTTTACTACACCTGCATAGATTTTCATTTTCAAAATTTTTTTTAACCCTGTTAGGGTATGAATTTTTCCAAAAATAACAAAGCGAGCTTTTCCACTTCATTTTGAACCTTGTTGCATGTAGGTAGTGTTCAAAATCAATTAAGGAAATTGATAAATTGATAGCCTAACATTCAGCGGTGTGTACATTTCGGTCGAATCAACATAGCACCAGCAGGTCAATTCTGCTAATGTTTACGTGATAATAGGATCTCGATAGAATCTCAACGATTTGCGTTTCACCAATGTACTATCTATCTGAAGTCCGGTATTATTAGTGTTGTATCTTCTTCTATATATATTATAGTGGATTATATTCTATGCAGATGCGATTGTTACATAAAAACATTGACAGAATTGGTCTGCTGTCTCGGAACTCCATACTTATACCATAACTGTAACTGTGTCTAAGTGCTTACTAAATTTAGAGTTATTCATCATGCTTTTTTGAGTATTTTTGGTTATTTTTTAAGTTTTTCTTATGATAAAATTATTATAAAGATAACATTTATAATCTTATCTTATTTTATTTTAAATCTTAATACATATAACTCAAAGGTGACTGACTGACATAGTGATCTATCAATGCATAGCCCAAACCACTGGATGGGTCGAGATGAAATTTGGCAATCAGGTAGATGTTATGACGCAGGCATTCGCAAAGAAAGGATTTTGATGAATTCTATCCCCAAGGGGATAAAGTAGGGGATGAAACTTTGTCAATTTTAAACCGATCGGGCTGAGACTTTGCATGCATAAAGCTTTTATGACGTAGGCATCTCCTAAGAAAGGATTTTGATAAATTCCTCCCCTATGGGGATAAAACAGGGGATGAAACTTTATTCCAGGTATTTTACGCGATATAATGAATAAATATTCGTTAGAAATGCTGCTCAAAGTAACTTTAACGTGCGGACGAAGTAGCGGGCAAAAGCTAGTATATCAATAAATACGAAATAATAACTTTTTTGTATGCCAACATACTTTCTTTATCCATGAACGGGAATCTGGAAAATTTTGAATCGTTCTTATAAAAAAAATATATTCGTGACGATTATCTGTGCATCAGAGGTAGTGACAGCTCCTGCCTCCGGTGCATCATAAATTATCATAGATTTTCGAAATAGTCCTATTTTTTTTTTGTATAAACAGAGTTAAGTGTCATATTAACTCGTCCGAATAGTAACATATTATCATGTTGGTACTAGTATTCTAACATAAAGTATAGTATTGTGTCTAACACAAAGAATATAATTGAATATAAATTGGGCGGCCACTGTCAGTATTCCAATTTCTTTGAATTTACCTAAAAAAATGTCCTAAAAATGGTGTTATTCTCGTTTTTTTTATTTTTTTTGCTGAACGTACGTCGTCGTTTCAGATGGCTCCGCACGATATCCGTGATCCTGTTCCTGAACAAGCAGGATCTGCTCGCGGAGAAAGTGTTGGCGGGCAAGTCCCGTCTCGAGGAATATTTCGCCGAGTTCGCCCGCTACCAGACGCCGCCCGACGCGATACCGGACGTCAGGGACCACCCGGAGGTGGCTCGTGCTAAATACTTCATACGCGATGAGTTCCTGGTCAGTACACTGTACAGCTCGGTGGCGTAGTGGCCGCGATCGTTGTTGTTAAGCGACTTTCGCGCGGGTCTGTCACGGGATGGGTGACCGAAAAATTATTTTCTCGAGCTACTCCATTGCTTCAGAAAGCACGTTATGCACTGGGCCTGCGTGGTGGGTAATGGCCCATTCTTCCTATTTGATTTGACTCCATTTCTTTCATCGGGAAGGCCTGTATATAGGCGGGTGATAACTACTTTACGAGTAGCTCGGTGGCGTAGTGGATGGGTGACCAAAATATTAGTATCTCCAGCTACTCGGCACGTTATGGTGTTGGTTCCAGCTGCATTTACAGACATCAACATCCTCCATTCCGCATTGGGCCAGTGGTGAGGTACCCGGCACATCCCTGAAAAGTCTGAAGTATGACGTAGTTAATTACGAACTGTATGTGTAACTACGAATTTATTATTTTTTTATTTTCCACCATAAATAAGACAGACATATAAACACAACTATAGTAGAATTTGTATATATTGACCAACCATTTCATATGACGCAATTCCAGAGGTTAGTTTCGTATAAAATTCTTTTTAAAAAGTCTGTTATAATTACTCTGCTTAAGTGTCGCTTATTATGACGTACATACTTTGTAGGGATTTTTAGAAATACCTAATAGAAACTGGAAATTATTGATTTTCTAAGAATACTTATGCTTTGCATGAAGTGTTTAACAATAACCTTCAGAGTCATAACCACTTCCACTGTATGTGTCATATTTGTGATGACCTGCAATTTTTTTTTTTAAATAATTGCATTGTCCAGTCTCCAAGATGAGTAATATAGTAAAGTATGAAGTAGTATGAAGCATAAGAGTCAACGAAGGTATTTGGGGCGGGGAACCTCAAAGATGGCGACGTCGTCAAACTAAAGGCTGTTTACTTCTTAACATAATTATCATCTTCTTTTGTTAGCTGTAGGTCTTTGATATAATAAATAAACTTACTACGCATGTGTCAGTTGAAAGAGACATATGATACTTAGGTAACACGCTCAGAGTATGTTCAATAAATGAGATTCCACTATAATGGCTTGTTGATACCTGTTAAGTTCATAATTAGTCAACCAAGTTGTTTACTTAATTTTACGTGACACCTATCTAATCGCTTAAAATTACGTTTGCTGCTTATCAACTTTATAAAGTTTTGTCACTTAAAATTAAGTTAACAATTTAGCTGACTACTTATCGTAATACGTGTAAACCCGCCTTTATAAAGTCGAGTCACTTAAAATTAACTTAACAATTTAGTTGACTACTTATCTGAACACGTGTAATCCAGCCTTAACTGTTTGTCAATAGCGCATAAGTACGGCGAGCGGCGATGGTAAACATTACTGCTACCCGCACTTCACGTGCGCCGTCGACACTGAGAACATAAAGCGCGTGTTCAACGACTGCCGCGACATCATACAGCGCATGCATTTGCGCCAGTACGAGCTGCTCTAACGCGCACGGTACGCTATACCACCTGTCTCACTCACACACACTAATAGGATAGTTTCGGTAGCGAAAAATAAGTCAAGAAATTGCACAAAAGCTAATAATTACATCGTAATAAACATAGAGATTCTGATTTCGATTCTTAAAATCGCACGATTATCTTTAAATTGAAAGTCGTGATATTTTTTTGGTCTGTGTGTCACGTGACTTGAGACACGACCTGCCATTGTGTGACGTCACTGTGGCGACAACTTTCTGATTAGTCACAAAGATATATTTAATAATTATAAATCAAATTCCTAGATGGTGATTATTATATATTTTAATTTCTAAATCAATTGTTTAGTTCTACTTTATGCATATCACATTGTCGCCATGAATATGACGGAGCGTTTTGGCGGGTATAAAAATAAGTTAAAATTTTGATGTAATTTTAAAGCAAGAAATCGTGTTTATTTTTCCGAAATATTTATTATAAGGCCTGGCCTGGTGGATTTTTTAAATATTTTTCATTTAAGGTATTTATCAGTATAGCAATGTGAATGCAAAATACGTCAAACGTTTTTGTTACGAGTGCAACCAGTAATAATTTTATTATTAGTTTAAATAATAATATATATTTCCTTTATTTAATAAACACTTTTTTGAGAAAAAATCATCTGTTAGTTGTTTATTATGGTAATATGAAAGTTTAAAAATAACAGTCAAGTAATCAATTCCGCTTTTAAAAAAATTGGTTAGCTAAAAATTTTAATATCTTACAGATATAAAGTCAAGAGGAGAGCAGAACTATCTGCACGAACACGCGACACGACCCACGACATGTCGCCGCACTTAAATATGTCGCACGTGTCGCGACCTGTCGCACGTTACACGATGACGCGTGCGCTATCGTAATAAACAGTAGGGTCGACCCGTTTAATATCGATGTTTATTTTAACGAATTTAGATTTTTAACTTTGTAAATATTTTTTTTTTGTCTCAGTTACTTTTTCATTTCTAAATTTTGTATTTGTTTTACTGGTTCTTTGGTTGATACGCGAATAAAATAACTTGAGATTAGAAATATATATTTTACGCTCATTTCATCATAAACGTATAGATTCAACCCACATTTCAACCCACATGTTTTGTAATTTATCAATTACGTTCCAAGGTCACAAATAAAAGTTGCTCTATATTTTTTTACGACATTCGCTGAAATATTTTTATGTAGTAATCATATCCTTGGGACAAAATTAACAAGTCTTATAAGATTACTAAATAATGAATACCCTAAATATCTTTGTATTTATTATGTTTAACTGGTGTTTAGTATAATATATACATTTTTAGCGTAAGTCTCTTTGCTGTCCCTTTCATTTGTTTGGTTTCTTTCCAATATCTTTTCAAATATCCGATTTTTTTTATTGGTCTTTTCCTTGTAAAGTTAATTGACATTGATTCTACAAGACACTCGTGAAATAAACATTGATATTATACGCAATCACACCCATAAATTATAATGCATAAATATACATTTAAAACACCCTCAATTCTAATGGTGTTGCTGTGATTATCTTGCCGGCAGAAAGGTGCTGTTTGAGTTTCTAAACAAAACTAAAAAAAAAAAATCTTTTTCTAACAAAAATGGAGTTCAATTTATTTTTAGTTGACTTTATAATTCCAAAGAATACGTTACTTTATTAGTATTTGTTTCTTTATAAAAATGTATGAGACAAAAATGATTAAAATCTCGAAGTGATTATTATATCTATGAAGGAATGATTTTTATATCCGAATGGCACCTTTCTGCTGTTCTTGCATCGTTCTAATGGTGTTTCCGAACGTTCGCCTTTACCGATACTGGCAACCACTCGTCTTTAAAAAAAATACCTCACTACGTTTTTTGTGGCTAATTAAGCAATGTTCCGTGTCTGTTATGAAAAAAAAAATTGGTGCCTTTATTGAAACTTGTTATTGAATTTTTGTTTTTCTTTATTATTGTAATTAATAATTTAAAATCCTTATTTTATATTTATAGCCAAAGGAATTTTATAAGCAGGTGCTAGGTTGCAATTGTTATCGACAAAGAATATCAACAACTGTCAGCATGTTTTTTTAAGCAACTCATTCCATAGTGATGTGCCGTTAGTGCGGGTGTCGATATGGAAGATCATCGACAGGTTGTGACAGTGCGTTTGACTTGTGTCGGTTAGTGCCAACAGTTATTTTAAACAAATATAATTAGTCGCCGCGTCTTGATTTCAATTTAAAACTGAAATCTTAATGTTAATGTGCGTTTAACGGGTCCTACTGGTCGAGACTTTGAAGTAACAACAGAAAAAGTTAATTTGTTTAGGGGTGTCTACGGTTTATGGTTGAGTGTCTATGGAGTCTCAGTTTGCATTGCAAACGGGATTTATTTTTAAAGGAAGTGAGGCCTTGTGATTAGCTTTGGAGGGTAATAGGCGTAAATCTTTGAGGTTGATGCTTCTTTTTTTTAATCGAAGCATAGCAAATGAAATCGATCCTTAATTACAAAATTTCCTTAGTTTAATTATGACTTCGACAGTGGATATAAACTCTTTATTATTAACCTGTATCGTTACTAATATATAATTTACTTTTCAATTAATTAGTTTAAAACAAAGCATGACTATCTACTGTATTATATTTATTAATTTGTGTTAACTGTTAAACACAAAATAGTCGATGCCATTGTTTTTGACGAAATAAAAGTACGCTGAGGCTATAAGTAGCTTGTTCCCTCATATTAAACAAACACTAACCTTCAAAATTTTCGTGTAGATTTTTTTTTGCTAATGGCAACACAACGCACGCACTTTATGCTCAAATTAGGCCAAATTTGTTTTTGTTACTTATTTAACGCAAATATTCTATATTCTATAGAGTGAAAACCATAGGTAAGTGTCGACCATTTTAGCTTTTTTAACGATCGCTAAAAGATTTAATACAGTCTTACAAGTTTTTGTGTATATTAATGGTATAGTTATTTTTTCTATTTTTTTTTATATATATTATTAATCTACACTTAATATAAAGGCCTTATATGAATGATTTGGAATGCATTTCTTTTTTTGGGTAGTTATCTAAATTATACGATTTTTGTGGTCTAAAATACCTGTATTATAAATATGCCAATAAATAAATCTAAACCAGAGTATGCTATAGAAAAATAACTTTAAACGACACGATTTTACATTCATAAAATGTTTTCTTGCCAAAATAATTGATGCAATCCAAATTTCTCATGTATATCACATCAATTTTGGATGAATGCAATCTTGTCAATATATATATATTTTTGTTTTTAAGTTTATTTTTAGTTTTTATGAATTTTATGTCTTCCAATGAATATACGTATGTATAATTGTTTTACGCATTGACTTAGTTCTAGTAGCTGTTAGATAATTTTAGCACGATTTGTTTAACTAAAAAAAATCGTTTCGGAGGGAGCTTCGTGGAATAGATTTAGCTTAGGTTATTTGATTTTTTTTATATGTATATAAAATAATATACAAGATCTTTTAAATCTAAAATATAAGGTCCAAAGAGTCAGGATGGTTAGCATGCCGTATCTAATACGGGGCAAAGAATATCGTTAGCAGTATTTCGTTTTGAATGTTTCAAAGATATATGCGTATAATTAATTGTTAAATGTTTTATTTTATAATCTTTTTAAGTTGGACACAAGTTGTAGATGTAAGTACAATGTGTTAGTAACAGAAACACAGATTAATTGTTGAGCATCATCTGGCAGTACGTTATTGCATTTTACCATCGCTCTATCAATTTCTAACGCTCAGAACTGCCTTTTGTTAGAGGGAGATAGACTCCCCGTGGGGCTATCGCAATTGCTAGTGCTGTATTGTTCTCGTTCTACCAATTACTGGTTTTGAGCGGCAGAAAAAGAGCGATGGAAAGTCAAACACATTCTGCCAGAGGAGCTCAACTCTAACGTAATTATTAATGGAAATAATATAATTATTTATACGATGAAAAGTTGGTTATGTACTTACCCTTTACGCTGTTAGTGTAATTCGTAATTATTATTATAAAATAAAAATCTATCCTATTTTTCTTTTATTAGGTAAAATATGAATCTGAATTTCTGTATTTATATATTACTACTAAATACATTGAGCAGGCTACTAAACTGTATATGATTGGTTCGTCATCAAACATAGTAAAAGCCTATTCAAAATAAATTAACTTAATACTGGGCTGCCCAACCTTTTTATAAATTTGACGATTGAAGGTTGAAATTCATAGGCATTGTTTTATTTTTTCATTTATGATGACAGTAATTTTAAATAAGATAATTTCACAATTATTAATACGTCTGAAATTGTTTCGGCTTATTCACTGAATTTTAATGGGGTAGTATTATTTTCAATGAGTTTTCTACGAGTGAATGTTAACAGGGTACCTGTTAATGATACTTTGATTGAAGTAGTTGGTAAAAGATTATCTAATTTCTGTTGGAAATGTGGGCCGCTCAATAATTCGTTCTAGGCTAGTGTTGGGTAGCCTTGTCTTTCTTTTTAAATAAATCAGAAAAATCTATGAATTGTTATTATTTTTTTAGCTTTATCCGTAACCTTATTGTAAGAATGTTTTAAGCTGGTTTTTTTACGTATTGTGCCATAATGAAGTGTTGCCAGCGGAAACACCATAACCTAATGTTACCACAATGATAAAAATATATATATATATATTAAATCGTGTTTAGAATAACACTGAGCAAAACTAAGAATTCCTTCCTATCTTGTAATATAACAAATCGCTATTTTTTGCTTTTCTAATCTTAACATTAAACGTTATTTTTGTTTTTGAAATATAACTATTGAAATTGTATTTTTTTTCTTTTTTTTCTGTTAGTTAAGTTTCGTTTTATATGTAAGTAGGCAAAGAAAGTAACATACATTTTAATATAAACATGTGTTTATTCATACAAGTTGCTGTTTGGAGGTAGCCCGGTTATTTGTTTTATTATGGACCATATTTGGTAAAAAATATTATAATTTTAGTACACAGTTTAGTTTGCGATCTTAACTATTTACTATTAGATATAGTGAAATAGTTTTATCCTTTGAAATATTATTGAGAGTTAATAATATTTCAGTTATGGCCAATATGAAAATTTATGTGTGTACAAAGTTGAATATTTTATCTGGCAATTTAGTATTAATTTTTGTGGCAACACTTACGGGCCGGAATTTTTGACATTTAGTGCAATATGGCAACCTCTGAACAGCAAATGTCAGCCCATTATAGCAATCATTGTGTAAAGGTTACATGGCATCTTAAACTTATTGTATATGTAACTTAAAAGGTAAAAAAAACTATTTGGTAGCTATTTTAAGTAAGTTATAGAGTATCGCAATTAATATGGAATGCAAAAGTAACAAAAAATATATACATACAAATATATATTATATATATATAATTGTAGACTGCTAAAGTTGTGACGGTTTTACTCCCTGCAGTACTACTTTTCGGTCGGATTGCAAATACCTATGATGTGATCGTATTTTTTAAAATATGCCTAACCGAAATGGAGCCGTGTAATGATGATGATTGAAGTCGCAACAAATAAGAAAAGTCATTAGCACAAAAGCAATATTTTACACCAATTTTACATTTGGCAACATTATGTGGGTAGTTCAAAAATAGAACGGTCGATTTTTGAGGAACATACTGTCCTAAGAGGTGACGTAAATTGCACGATTTTTCAAATTCGAACTATAATGCAAGTTTATTTAGGCGATAACAAGATCAAAAATGTCTTTAATTGTACTATAGTTGAAGTACGTTTCTTCTGAGTACTATTTTGAAGGTTTTCAAATATCAGTAGTCAGCCGATAAGGCCTCAATTCTGCTAACGATAATGT